CCGACATCATTGCGCACCTATTTACAAAATTTCATAGCCGAATACCATCAACTTTTATCGTTATTCAACTTTAAAAAACCGAAAACGGGCGTCCTGCCCTTTAAATTGAGGCCGAATAGCGCAGGTTTCGGCTCTACGATACGCGGGAACTACGCGCTCGATCGGCCCCATTTTGGTCTTGTTTGAAAGAACGCGTTTTCAGCTGTTTTTTTTATTCAGTAAGCAACATTGAGCGTTTCCCCGGCTCGAAAAACGGGGCCTCAAAGACGAAGAGCCGCGCTCACTGCCATTGGCTAAACGGCGCACGTGACTGAAATGGCGCTTTCCGGTTGGCTGAAAGCTCGCGGCTTGCGCCTGCATACGCGACCCGACGCCATTTTGAAAGGGTTACCGCTGTGACGCCTCGAAATCGGCAGAGCACTCTGAAGCTTCTGATCGTATCGCCATGCCTGGAAACGCAAAAAAGTATCGGACCGTGCACGCATTTGGTCGCAGGAAACGCAAAGGTCGTGGGAGAAAGTCTACGAAGTCATCAGAGCCCTTGGTTGACTCCGACGAACGATGTGTCGACGCTCCGCGGCCGTTCAGCGATGGTGCGACCGAGCGCGTTGCCTCCGACGACGATGACGGTGAAGCGAACTCCGGACGACTACGAATCGACGCCAAGGTGGTGACAAACGCCGAAGTTGAAGAAAATCATGCCCGGGAGAAAGCGACGCTCGACCGGCTTTCATCGGCGCCACCAACTGCACGGAAAATTGACTTTTTCACCGCGAGTTGTAGCGAGGCAACCACACAGGACTCGGACCACGCTGCTCCTTATCTGCTTATGCATCTAGATATCCTAAACGCGATAATGGGTGCCTTGTGTTGCAAAGCCTGCCACGGACCGGCTACGATCGTCAGAGGGGATCGGGACTACGGACTTGCCGTGAAAGTGCTAGTGCAGTGTGAAAGGTGCGGCGAGATCGCGAATGAATAGACTTCGCCCCGCGCGAACGGCACGAAAACGTGCAATCCGTTTGAAGTAAATCTTCTCGCTTCGAGGGCGATGGTAGCTACCGGCAACGGCCAAACGAAAATGAACGATATTTTCGCAACAATGGGCATCTCACACCGCGGTATGCACCACAAGACGTTTCAGCGGCATTTGAAGAACACGCTGGCACCCGCTGCAACGCGAGCGGCTGAGTCCGCTATGAGCGAATGTGCGGAAAAGGTTAGAACAATTTATGATGACTTGTGCTTCGGCCACCAGGGCAATATTGCCGTTAGCTACGACGGCACGTGGAAGACGCGAGGCCATTCTTCCCACATCGGCGTGGGCACAGTTATCTAATTATTTAGTGGCTACGTGTTGGACTACGTCGTTCTTTCCAACTTTTGCCTAGGCTGCGAGGTGGGCCCAAAGCCTAGTAGTGAGGGCTATCAAGAATGGAAGGCTAACCACAAATGCCAAAAAAATACGAACAGCAAAGCGGGGCAAATGGAAGTGGAGGCGGCTCTAATTCTATTTCAGAGGTCGCTTGAACGCCATGGCCTGCGCTACACAACTATGCTGTCTGATGGAGACTCTAGGACATTTTGCGCCATACAAGACGCCAAGGTGAATGGTTACATTGACGTGCAGAAGGAAGACTGTATTAATCATGTACAGAAACGGATGGGCACCGCATTGAGAAACCTGGTGCAGAAACAAAAGTGCGATGGGAAAAGAGGCCTTGGTGGGAAAGGCAGGCTCACAGGTGAGCTGATCACCAGGCTGAGCACATATTATGGCCGGGCTCTGAAATCGCATGAAGGTGACGTGGGCGAGATGCAAAAGGCTGTGACGGCCACATACCGCCACGTCACCTCCACTGATGAATGCTCGGACCACAGTCTGTGCCCAGCTGGTGAAACTTCATGGTGTCGGCACAATGCCGCAAAGGCAAAGGGTGAGCCCGACCCCAGGCATGCCTACAATCTACCGAAAGACGTGGCAGAGGCATTACTACCGGTTTATACCCGGCTTTCGGAAAGAGCCCTGCTTCGGAGGTGCGAACGCGGCAAAACGCAGAACTCCAACGAGAGCCTACATTCGGTAATCTGGAGTTTGGCCCCCAAGGAGCACCATGCGTCCCTGTTCGCTGTTGAAGCAGCTGTTGCAGAAGCAGTGCTGCGCTTCAACACGGGCAATTTGAATTCTGCAACGGCAATCTTAGGTGAAATGGACATGAATGCGACAAGTACTGGTGCCAGGAGAACGAGAAAAAAAGACCACCGTCGCAGCATTGTCTCCAACAAGAAAAGAACAGCCTCATTGGAACTCCGGAAGCTAGTGAAGAGGAGGCATGAGCACAGAATGCATTCAGACTATGCTTCTGGTGCGTTTTGAGGTTGTCTTGTTGCATCTTCTGCAATAAAAATGTGTGCCCACGTTTTTTCTCGATTTCTCAAAACGACAATTTTCATGTGCTTCCCATTATGCCGGAGCAATATCTCTTGTTCTATCTGGGTTATCATTACGATTTCTTTTTTGTTTCGAAGATAAATGCAGGGGATGTGTCGTAAAGTAAGTTTTATTGTAATAATTTTTGGAGAAAATTCTCTAAATGGATCTTTTGTTTCAAGTGTAGATGGGGAAATTTTTCATGTCATATTCAACATCCCACAACTTTGCTTCGAAATAGCCCAGAACAATGATTTATACTTTATTGCACACTGTGAACATACCGAATTGGTTCTATAGGTTGCACATCAATATCCGTGTTACAGTTAATTAGCTAATTAGGCCTTAATTGAAAAAGTCGCAGTTCATTATATCTTTAAAACTAATTGTCACAGCAAAAAAAGAATTAGATTTTTGAAATCAGCAGTAAAATCTACATAGGCTCTCCAAATTTGACTGAGGTACTCGCAAAAATAAAAGAGTTTTTGGAAGGTGTAGCATCCCCCCTTAAACAGTGGTAGCCAAGAACCCCACCTTTTGTCTCTTTAATGAACTTAAGCTGTCTCTGAGAAACTGTTCAGAAAATCCTCATCTCGGTTTTTAATCTGTATTGGCACGATTTTACCAGGAGTGTACAGGCAGACCTGCATCATCAAGCGAACCGATTTTCAAATGCAGACTGAAGCATATCGAGACCTAAATCTCAATGGGAAACCAATACTACTTAGCACATGGTTTACAAGAACAAAGCCATAAGCACTGAGGCATTTTTTTTTTTAATGGAAGTATATAATCTTTCCTTTAAATTATTATGACTACCTTGCTTGTCCCTCATATGTAGAAATCAGTAAATGCCCTTTTTTCTTGGAATTAAAAGCTTCAAATGCTTTGCACCTTTACAACAATACACCCGCTTTGTTATGAGAACTTGGCACGAAACACCAGAGCAGAAGCCGATAGGACAAACACAAACTAACAACTGATTAATTGAAATCACACTAACTAGCCTCCTAGAACCATGCACACACGCATTAACAGTCATGACAAATGTTACTGTGCAAGTACATTGTTCCAGAAGGCAAGTTTGTGCAGTTTAAATAAATCACTAGTTAGTCTGAGTTCACACAGTCTACTTCTACTCTGGTGTCTCGTCCCAAGCACAGTTTAATTTCTTATAATCAGCCATGGGCAAGTTACCAATAAAAAGTAACAGAGTTACAGTTATAGTTACTGAAGCCAAAAAAGTAACTCTGTTACAGTTACAGTAAAAAAGCAAAGTAGTTACTTTTTCGTTACTGTATAAAAATTGATTACAAAAGAAATAATGCATTTTAATTAATAAAGATGTAGGAAGGCATGTAGGTAGTGAAAGTTGCATGTGGTGAAACCCTAGAACGATGCTGCACAGGGCCATAGCTTTGACCTAAACAATGTGTGTGTGGGGGGGGGGGGGGGGAGGCTTCTGGAAACGTGGTTCATACGCTACGGCGCACCGGCTTACAACCCGCGGCCCCCTACCAAACGTTTGCAAGGACATGTGTGACTAATAAACTGATTGGCCACTGCCTATTTTTATTTTTTTGCCAGCGTCTACTGAGGATACCACCTGCATAGAAGGCGAAACGTCAATCACTTTGTTAATAATTGTTGTGTTAACTCGAAGTAGAGCTTTCACAATCAGTTACAACCCTGTTTTAAATGCTTCAGGTTTTCAGCAGTTTCATGCTGCTGTTTTCTAGCCATCTGTCAAGCGCGACTTGCTGGAAGCCTCAGACGGAGGAATCCTCCACTGGCATACCAAGAAAAGGGATAGAAGCTCAAGTGACAACAAGTATATATATATATTTCCCTTCCCACCTACCCCCCCCCCCCCCCAGAAAAATAAAAGCTATGAAGGAGAGGGGGGCAAGTGAACTTGTCAAGGTGTTCAGTGGCAACACTATTGATTTACGACATGTAGCTTTACGAATAAACATACCCTCCAGGCACACATCACTTCAAACTAGCCAGACAGGTCTTTGTCAAATATGTTTACCTTTAGACATGTATACAAGTAAACTCTGAACTAAGTCTTCTGCAGGGAAGATATTCCTCTCAGTGACCTGTTCTCTTGAACTGTGATGGGAGCCGTGGAAAGTCAAAAGGTGGAGAGGATATTGCAAAGAAGAAAGTTCGAAAAAATGGAAAGTGTGTAACGTCTGCCTTTAATGAGTGTGGCTGTTGGATGATTTTTTAGAAAAACAGAAGTAACTGTAACTGTATTTCTCGTTACAGTTGCTCAGTAAAAAAGTAACAGTATTACAGTTACTCTAAATTAAAAGTAACTAGTTACAGTTACAAGTTACCAAAAAAGGTAACTAGTTACTGCTCAAGAGTGCTCATAAAATGACCAATTAACCAGCCCCCCAACAAACACTTCTTTGATACATCCAAATGTTTGAAATTTTGAAAATAAAACCCAGATCTAGTAGGCGACATCATTAATTACCCAGGTCACAGCGTATATCACCGGCGCAACAACCACAAGGTCAGGTAAAGTAATCTAGAGGCAGCAGCTCAAGTTGTTTACCTCTACATCGTCAGCCCAGTCATCAGCTCTGAGCCCAACAAACTTGAGCCGTCCATCACGACCTCTCAGACCAGTAGTGAGCACGTAGGAACTGGGATCTTCCCACTGCGCCTGGAACAGGTCTTCTGTATTGGAAAGTGGTGGTGACGGGAGGGGAAAGTCATCGAGGGCTTTTTCTTGCATAGTGCACGTAGCACCATCACCATCAGGATCATGTTCACCCTCGTTAATGACGAGTTTTTTAGGCGAAGAAAACTCAAAAGGGGTGCTTGAATCATCATCTTCAAGCTTCAGTTTCTTGCGCACTGACTCTGAAAATGACATTTAAGCAAACAAGTTTTAAGAATGACACTGGAGCTCTTTCTGTACACAACTGATTTCACAAGTATTACATGCAATCACATGTAATGTCCTACAAATTGGCACTAGAAATTTCTACTTTGAAATGAAGAGATGCAGATGGACACACAAAAGCAGCCACTGTCACCATATTGTCTTTCATTACAGAATCTATTGTCAAAGCATTCATTCAATAGACTGAGCCTTCTCAATAAGGGCGTATCGAACAGTAACATATTTTAATAGAAAAATATACTTAAAGGGACTCTAAAGGCTAGTATTAAGCTGACATTGATTGTTGAAATAACTGTCCAGAAACCTCATACTGCTACTCTTGTGCCAAAAAAGTCGTTGTTTTGAAATGAAATCCCATTTAATTGGTCTGCATCCTATTAGTACACTTCAAATCACCTATGTGCATGCGGTCTTTTAGCCGTCACTGTTTAGTGCCCAACGTTGCCTGCCTTTATTATGTGGCCACCAGTAGCAGCAGAGCGAAAGTAGTGAAAGCCACAGTTGCAGCAATGGCCACTGAACAATTTTCTGCAATCTCAGAGCCGATAGTTCTTCTTGCTTGGTTCAACTGAGCCCGCTGCTAGATGATATCACCTATCCAGCCTAACCAGCCAAAAACTGAAATTTTGAGCCACTCTTGCCATTCTCCGTGGTAACCCCAGGCAGTTTTTTTTTTTTTGTGCGTAAAAGCATTTTATTACGCCTCTTGATGCGTGGAAAGTTTTTTTTTTTTAATTGCAGCTAGTGTGATTCCCAGTGATTAATTGTAGTCGGTGCTCTCACATCATGGGGATCATTTCGCAAATGTCCCGCTTGTGACACACGTCGTGCGATACATTTAGATTATTTGTTGGTAAGTAAGGCACAGCTGTTGATAATATTGCCGTGTTAGATGTCATACATTGAGTATTCACTCTGGCATAAATTGTCATTCGCCTTTAGTTGGATACCTTTAATTCAATTCAAGATACCTTAAATGCCCTGTCGTAAGACTAAGTAAAATAGGCACAGAAGAAAAAACAAAAAGAAGAACCCACTGGGGAAAAACGAAAGTTTACTAAAGAATGCTTGCAAAACACTATTACAAATAAAGCATTTATGGAAATAAAAAGAACAGAAGTACAGTACACTCTCGATAAGCGGAAATCTGTTAAACGGAACTGCTGCTTAAGTGGAACAACTGCCTCTGATGTGATTGTTTTCGTGCTTGAATTCTCCACCCTTGTTCATTTCTTGGTCAACCGAAAGCAATTTCCTGGCCCTTTCAGGTTCTGTTTAACGGGAGTTTACTGTACTAAAAGAAAAGTAATATATAATTCATGATAGCACACGAAATGTGTACAAAATACATGTTTCTTGAACATACAGTCAAATGCAATGAAAAAAAAAAAAAACATTTGCATGATGTTGCATTGTGACAAATGACATTACATTTATTCAGAGGGTCCAAGTTCTAACGACAAGAAATGTACATTTAGGAGTTGCTTAAGCTTATCTAAGTCTATAAGAACATCAGCAAAATAGGGAGAGAATTATATAAGCATTGGGTTGTGGAAAGGCCAACAAACTAAATGTATTTGTATTCTTGCAGCCATGATAAAGCCTAGGCCATTATTCGGTCATCATGCTTTGCTAGGCAAATGTTCAAACAGCAAGCATGATAAGATCATTCGATTAATGAAGCGATGAAATAAGGGTGGGAGTGCTACATTACAATGGCTACTTCATGTATGAAGAAAAAGGCAGAGTTGTATCCAAATTTTAGTTGACTGAAAGTTGCAAATGCATGAAGTAAATTGACTAGCTCAGTTTTCAACGACTTCTAACAGGCTGATTAAATACTCCTGATTGGGAGACCATATGAACACAAACTCGAGCTGTCCATGGACAAATGTTAAAAATGCCATTGTGTGGATGCTAGATTGATAATTAGGTAAGTAGTGAGAAATGCACCCATGGGATCAAGGAAGCATTGCCCCATATGGTTGTGCGGTGCAAGGCCCAGGAAAGGGCTTGTGCGAGATTAACACCTCACTATTTGCACACTGAAGCCCAAAACATTAGGTTTGTATTTATATAATAAAAGCTCAAGTTTTATTTTTTACAATTGAACGACATGGCTATAGATTTAGATTTGCCAAGATTCACAGATGTTATTAATGAGTTGAACATTCTTTCGAAGAACCAGACAGTCCTTGACCTCAAGGCTGTTAATTCTTCAGTGAACAATATCATCACAGGCAGAACGATAAGTTATAGGGTAGGTCATTTATGTAAATTAAGAAAATCAAGAGTCCTATTTCACAACACACCACCAGCGAGGCACAAAAACAAAAACCTGATTATTTGGTCTATAAAAAAAGATTTATGAGGCATAATAGACAGCAATCTCCTGTAGATATAAAGAATGCTTCATTGATTGTCAAATTGAAAATACCTGTTACAAAAAAAGAAAACTCTCACCTATCCTGTTTTTTTTTTTACATGTTATTGCTGGCTTCATTTAGGCTCTTTTCCCTCAAAGCTAGTTTGTCGAGTTCGGCTGCTGAGTGTGGCAGTGGCCTATAAGAGCAGCTAGCACTGTAAAATAACTCTCCAGGTAGAGTATCTTTTGCTGTTGCAGCTTCGGTAGAGTGGTTGAAAGGTGAGCTCTTCAAGGAGCCACAATGTGGAAACAGGTTTTTATTCCACTAAGGGCACAATGCGTTTTTCCTTTATATCCTTATGAAACGTTCGCAAAGCAATATGAGATTTTTGCAACAGCATGAGTGATTGACGTCAAAACAGCTAGAGGAGCAAGGCCATAATAGTTATCACCTTACAGCAAAAATGAACTTACCGAGAGTAGGAGTACCTGCATGTTTTCGTGAACTCTCACCAGGCTCTTCTAGGCTCTTTTTTCCCACAGAAGAGCTGGATCGTGGTGTATCCAAGTCTGACACATCCTCTCTACCAGACAGCACACGATTAGAAGGCAGCAATGGTGGAGCATCTGGTCAAAATGAAAAAAAAAAAAAAATTTTGCAGTTAAGCCATTTAACTTCGAATAGCTTTAGAAAATGTTTAGAAAAGCAAGAATTAATTCTATGCAGCATTTCTATATGGCCTTCAATATAATGTAAATTTATTTTCCCTTCTCAGTGTATCCAAAAAATCAATGCGGTTCTAAAGAATCTGGACAAAAAAAAATTTATATTGGAGTGGATTCTAGAGTGGATGAAAATCAAATTGAGCAGCTATTCTGTATGCCACAAAATTTCATGAATAAAGAGGCACTGTGAAAAATAATATTATGGCTAAACGTGCCACACACGTGTTTATTGAAGTTTTGTCAGCGTTTAAGCTAGAGCAGCATCAAATCATTCGCGCCCCAAATTTAGCAACACGTCGTGTACCAAGGCCGCTACGTACAATTATATCATACCCTCTTTCTCACCCCTGCCATGCCTCCTCAACTCATGAGACACACTGGCATCGCTGACCATTGTAGAGCTCTCATGAGTGCACTCGACGATTTGAGCTTCACCCGGTCATCACCTCAGAGATTGCACACTGACAAGTTGCGCGCAATCTCGAAGACCAAAGCCTAATTCGCCCGACAGCACGCGTGCCATCTGGCAACAGAAACGAAGATAGCGGAGTGGTTGATATCTGCACCAACAGGTGCCACCTCCGCACCAGCCGATTTTTTACTCATGCACACACGTCACCTAACAAGATCAGCAGCCTGGGTGACATTTCCCCTACACTGGATGTCATACTGTGAATGGGTGATTGAAAATGTGTTTCGCTGATCCGCAGTGACCTGCAGCGATTCACAGCTTTAAGTCATTGTAATATCTTACACAGTTTATGCAGAGAGCTTAAATCAGTCTGTAAATGTCCCTTATGATTTGCTGTACTGGCCCAACGTGTTTGTACAAAATAGTCAAAACCGTTTCAGGGTCCCTTTATATAGACTTCCTCAAAAGTACTGCAGAATAGAAGTTGACAAACAAAAGAAGTAAAATAAGGTGTTGTGGCAAGTTAATATCGCTGCAACCACAACTTCTGATATACAAGACAAACGAAGGTCGACCTGAAGCATAATACTGTGAACAACTCCTAAACATTCGGAAGGCAAACCAAAAGGCGTTCGAGAATTAGAATTTCCCATCACCATTAACCTTTTCCATATTGCTGAATACTATAAACATAATATTTCACATATTGCATGCACTAGTGAGTGTCTCCTTCACATGCAACGAGAACTGAAAGGGAGTCAGCAAAAAAACCAAATATTTGAGGTCACACTTGATCATAATTATGCGTGTGGCATGAGCACTTCTCTCGCACTTTATCTGTGCAGATGCCTGTTGGCACTGCAGAAGTCCTTCTGCTAGCACAAAACGTATACATATGTTGATAAATCACAAGCTGAAATTTATATGATGTGAAGCTGTTAATTAAATGCAATGTAACTAAATAGGTGAACACAACTGAGTTGATTTTCAAACTGTGCAATGCATAACCTCATGCGATGTTGGTGTTTACACATAACAGCACTTACAAGTCATGTTGAAATGTGAGCTCTAAAACAGGCAGATGTAAACTGGGAGATTCTGCTACAACAATGTTGCAGTAAAAGCAATGTTCATTGTTTTTCAAGAGAAGAACGGTGATGATGGGACAGAGTTATGACACATAACTAAATACATTTAAATATGCTGCATACGCTGTGCCACAGTACTAGCACATACTCATTTTGGTGGATAGACCAAAGATAACCCACACACCTGACCATTACTCAATGGTCCATGACTGGAGTAGCCCAAAACAAAGAGGTCCGAAAATTAAATAAGCCATTGAACATCGTGTTATTTCATGAACTATGTCTGCTTCGGTGAAATCTCCGAGTCTACATCATATTACATGTTTTATGCGGGCATTCACCATTTTCCTACATCAAACAGGAGTGCGTTTGCCATTATGACTCTCTCGGAACTGACGATGGAACTCAGCAGGCCAATAATAGGTTACCCATATACGTAAATATCATGTGCTTTTCATTATCAGGTCCGTGTATTCGTTTTTAGCTATAAGTACGTTGGAGTAGTTTTATGCGGCGATTTCCTACTTTGATTTATAACAGAGGTGCGCTCACTTGTAGTACTAGCCTGTTAACATTCAGTGTTATTATATATATGAGCTTGTATTATATAGATGAGCTGGAGCTCGCATACGGCGCGCACACTTCGGTGAAGTATGTATGAGCTCTCGACGAACCCATCAAGGTCAAACAAGCTGCGGACTAGGCTTCCCATTATATATATATATATGAAAAAAGAAGAGCGAAAGAAGAATATGCATCGAAAGCAATTAATCATGAACCATCGATCGTTCAGCGAAAGCGGAACTCACTGCTGTGGAGCTCATCCGCGAGCTCCAATTCATCTGCGTAGAGATCGTCGTACTCGTCGTAATCATCATAATCCATTTCGTCTCGTCCTTGGAAGCGGCTGAATGAGGCTCCCGCTGAATGTGTGTAACGTTCGCGTCACTTCAGGCCATCATCAGAGCAATGATGTGACCTCCTTCAGTAATGTGTTCTGCTTCCTAGCAGCACCTCGACAAACTTGCACAAAAAAGCGCGCGTCGCTACAATCCGCTGCCGCCTACGGCTACGAACGGGCGCCAAGCTTTTGGCTACGTTGCGATAGAAACCGTAAAAAATGAATGGTTTGAAACATAATGACCATGACGTCACCTGATGTTTTTTGGCGCTTTCAATGCACCAAATCACTGCCCTCGAGAGTTGTAAACTAAAACATGAATTTGTAATTTTTTTGTTTTACTTAAATAAATTGCTGTAACTATTTTACTTTTCAAAAACCTATTACTGGTAAATAAATAAAACTTGGTGTAGAAAATTTTGATAATTGCTGCGTTTATTTATGTACATGCATTAAGTTGCTTGAGTTGAATGGAAACAAACAAAAAGTCGTCTAGCCACCACACCATTGCCGGCTTTGTCGCTTGTTTTCTTTCTCCCCTCGGCTGCTCTCTGTGGAATCTCTGTGATCATTTTGCTGAAGGTTGTGGGAAGTATTTGAGGTGATCCGTCACCGTACGTTTTCCGTACTTTTTTTTTCTCATATATAGCAGCACCTATGTATCCTGTTTCTTAATCCTAGGCGCTTTCGTTAATGTACGTACTACGCCTCGTTTCACCGAATTCTTTGCACATGTCTTAAGTTTCGCTTGTTGTGATCATGCAAAGTGAATGTGTGTTCAAAAAGCGCTGCGTGTGTGACTGGCTTTTCAGAATAGCCCGGTACATCAGAGCGAGTAATCAGAGTTGATATCATGCTTGCGTTGGTCGTGCTGATGACCAAATAGGCGAAATCATCCGTGCAATACGTACCTACCACCAGCGAAATCGTGGTGAAGCGTATATCTGCCAGCATACTCACGAAGTTCGAACCATTCGCTCAAGTTTTAGTGGTTGCGCTGTTTCTTGCCGTGGTTTTGTTTGTGTGTGTGTCTGTGTCGAGCTCACTCTGATAATCACGACATGTTTACTTGCTTGTGCGTGCTAGGAAATGCGTTGCAACTAAAAGGACGCTAGAAGTGGGCAGCTCTAGAACGAATACAAAGGACCAGATAAAGACAGTACATGCGCTGTGACAGCTAAAATGAGACCTTCTATATGAACCCAAACCAACTCGTCCACCTATCTGTCATTCTAAAGGACGTTAAATGAAAAGTATGAAAGTTGCAGTGGTATAAAAAGTGATCTGTTCATCCAGTAACATCCATCACTTTCTCGCGCAGGGTCGTTTCCAATGTCATTGCAGAGCACGCACAGTTAGCGCTGAAACTTCGCATTCTAGCTATGTGTGCCATAAACCTACTTACGGAAGTTGTCAAAAGTAGCCACATGACAGCCATTGTGTGTAACTTCACATTAACGCAACATGAACCCCCTACCTCCACGCTTGCCTTCCATATTGGTTTTCACAAAAATAATAATTGCAGGTGCAGTTAGGCAATACTTCTTCATCTGTTTTTTCCTTTTGGCCCAGAAAATGTTATTGGTGTGCCTACAAAAATAACGAAAAATCTTTGAAAACGCTGCCTGACTTGTGTTTTACTCTGCGAGTGAATGTAACAAAAGTGGGTGTTTTAATATCTGGTGTTAGTGATGGCATACCGACATTTGTATTCAAACATATGTCAGCTACATGTCAATCATACTTTAAATTCAGAAAATCTGACAAAGAAAACTGCAACATTTGGAAGATTTATGAGTGAAACCATATGAATTGAATATTGTTGGCTAATGCTGTTGTGGCACACAGTTGTTTTTCCAAAATCAAAAAAGCATGACCAAAGTGTGACAGCCGATTGCCTCTGCTTCTAAAGAAAAAGTTCCACTCGTGTACCCGGTGATATTCTCCAACAGTGGGGTCAGTGATCTTGCGGTTTTGACATCAGTCCAGAGCACGCACACATGGATGCAGGCACATGTGCATCGGCCTGTGAGGTGGAGATATTCATGTCTTCTAAAGTCTTATCTGATTAAGTGTTTTACTTTGTTTGTAACTATACGATTGTGAATTTATTCTCATCTCGTGTTTTTGTGTGTAATGTTTATGTCAGCTAAACGAGTGGAATGGCTATGAAGAGCCAGCTCTGTGGTACATGTTTAGTTTGCCCTCTGTCGCACCTACAGGGCTGGAAAGTTCTAAAAAGTGAAATAAAGACTTGTCATTGCCCTCTAGATTTTTTTAGCACCAGAATTTTCACTGGAGCCACTCAGCAAATCCAGATCTTTTTACTCGTGGCTGCATTTGCTTTAGAGGAGTTCTGACATGAATGTCATATATTTTGAAATTATTGCTATAAATAAAAAACATTGGTTTTGAGAACCCTAAAAAGAGTATTGGGGTGCCTGGGAATGCATCGAACGTATATTTAGTACCGCTAATTTAAAAAGTCACCTTCGGTTTCAATATGGAGGGGGGGGATTCTCCGCAACATAGTGTGGCGTCATGCGAAAACAGGAATTCGCGACGTATTAGCAGCAGATTGGTCGTCTGCTCATTGTACACATAAACTATGATGACTACACTGTCCCTAGGGACCCCAACAGCAATTTCTTCGATTGAGGCTGCGTGCAGGATGCAGAGTTCGCAAACTCAGTGGAACTGAGTTGACTAGTCGAAATGATGTCTATTGGGGTGTGGCTGGTTTGGTGATGCTCAGCGACGTAAACTTGAAAATCAAAGAAAATATTTGTACGTGCTGGCAGACTCGGGTGTATGGATAGTCTTAACACTGCATACCAAGGAAACAAAAAAATGGCTCTTTTGCAATAACTCAAAATCGTGTCAGTACTGCTTTAAGACATACTGTGTACTTTCTTTGATGCACCAGTTACTTTCATATAAATTTCACACTTGATCTCTTTTCATGCAGGAGAGTGGCGGCTGAGCCATGTCTAATTGGAAACAGCACCCTGTGCTACTAAATCTGAAGGCTGCTGATGAGAACATCTCAAGCGGCCTGTTCCTGGCTACAAACAACCAGTCACCTTTGGCACAGTACCGCTCTGTCATGCAAATGCTCGAGTACTCAGCACATGGCATCCCATGGCTCTTGGGGACGTGCTCACTCATTTGGTTCGTCACGGACCGAGATTTGGAGGCATTTTATGTCAATTTGCTGATAGGTGTGTGTGCCAATGTTTTCAAACTACATGTGTGGATATTTTGTTTTGTCCAGAATCACATGAGCCAAAACAGGTTTTATTTTATGCGGTTTATGTGGCAAAGGCCGGATCGTGTTATTCACAGTGGCCTTGCCTAGCTCATGGCAGTTCTTACTTTCAATTAATACTATAATCATTAGTAGGTATAAGTATACATGCCAATATGTATATACAGTGTTGTAAAATGTTAGACCTCATGAAGCAGCCCTAAGCTGAATGTCTTGTTTAAGTTTATTAGAATAAAGTGCAGGTTGCCATGGCTGAACTGTACATTATCAACGGCTTCAGACTCTTCACTTTCTGCAGTTCTGAAAAAATTTGTTGCAGCTCTTGATGGCTATTGAAGTTGGCTGCTATGGTGCTTGGACTGTGTGTTGAGGCATTATTTTTGTGGTTATGATATGTGGTTGTGCTTTGCTTATTGCACTGATTACTATTTCACTTATCTGGGTGCAATACACAGATATACTTGATAAAGTAGATGGGAAGATGACTGCCACCATAGCTCAGTCAGTAGTGCGTCGGACGGGCTTTATTCTAACTTTACAGGTTTGGTCACTGCCGACTGCAAGTTATCTTTTTATTCACTTGAATTTCTCCTTTATATCACCACTTACTACAGATAACATCCCCAGGGGCGTGGTCGAAAATTTGGGGGGGGGGGAGGAAGGGGGGCACCTCCTAGATTCAAAGTGAGGGCCAAGCAGACAGATGTGGTTAAGTGCCGTTTTGTGCTCTATACACCACGATGAAAAAAAAAATTAGTGAGGGGGGGGGGGGGGGGGGGGGAGTGGGACCAGTGTGTCACCCTTTGGCTACGCCACTGAACATCCCCTGTACGTGCCTTGGCTTGATTTTTTGTTCGTTCACATTAATGTTGTATCTAACTAAAAAAAGGTACCCTCAAAATTTCCCCAAATTTGTTTACAAGCACATATGTGGCTTTTGCCTTGTTTTCGCATAATGCAAACTTGTTAGCATACAAAGGGTTTAGTGCATTTGAAGTACTTTTGGTTGTAAAATAATAAGCACCAACTTACTCTGCGATGTGTCATGCCGATGTATGGCTGCGAAGGGGTTATACAGATTTAGCTATTGTTCTGTTCAATTTGTCTGTACTTTTTCCACATTGTCACTGCACAGTTTCAAGCTCATGAACTATCATTGCAGTAGTACATTCTAAGTGTGACATAATGGACTCCTGGGAACAAACATTAGTGCTTGTGTGGTGCAGGTCTTATGCTTCTCCATTTATGTCTTGTGCCTTTAACTGCTGGTATTGTCCAGCACATGCTGAACTTCTATTTGAATACCCATTTTCCCCCAGATTCATGGCTGTCATTCCATAAGAAAAATTATCTTTGTCAGGACCCAAACTATAAAGATGAGTAGCATAAAGGTCTAGTTGCAATGTTGCATGTAAATTGACATGACAGCAAAGAATTTTAGATACCTTAGCATTGAGAATGGGCAATAAAACCAACTTTTAATTTTATTTGAAATTAATGGCACAATTTCTCAGCAAACCATCCAGCAGTGCAGTCGAATTTTTTCTAGCATATAAGCTGCTAATGTGCAAGAGAAATCATCCACTGCTTCGTTTCAGCACATTAGCACTGGTAGTCCCAGCATTGCCGAAAGTTAAGGAACAGGGCTTATATGTTGCCTGTACTTTTTAAAATGAACAGTGCCATGCAGCTACTGACACTCTTACACTGCTGAAATGAATGGTGAATGGTACACTACCTGAACTGGTAGTTCACGAACTGCAGGTGAATTGAAAAGACTTTACGGTTTGCTAAATGCAACATGTTGATTGCTGTGGATGCTTGTAGCCACCAGACTCTGAAGTCTGATTTTTTTTCTACTGGTTACAGCGCTCGTGTTGGACCTCATTGCTGTGGCCATCATTAAGGCTGTAGCTCGGCGGAAACGACCCGCAGTCAACGTGAACGACATGTTCTTCACTGTATCTGTTGACAACCACTCATTTCCCTCGGGTCACGCATCACGTGTTGTCTTCCTGGCATGCCTGTTTCTCAACTACACAACAATTAATGTAGTCTTCAAGTTTGTCACATTGGTGTGGAGCCTTTCTGTGCTTGCATCACGAGTGCTGCTGGGACGGCATTATGTTGGTGATGTTGTAGGTGGTGCCATACTTGGACTGATTGAGTATGTCATCATTATGATCATTTTTTGGATGAGCACGGACAGTGCACTGTATTTTGCATCATTCTTCACAACATTTGACATCCTGCACGGTGGCATTAAAGAAGTAGAGGTTTGAACAAAGCTGGGGAGCTGCACGAGACATTTGTTGAAGACAGCCCTATTACTTAATGCCACTTTTCTTGGTGCTCAAGGTACAGCTTATAGGTTTTGCTGTGATCATGATCTTCATCAACATTGTAGATGTTTGGACTCCTCTTGGGAAGACTCGGTCTGAAATTAAAGAAATCTGTACAAAAAAGTGGTAGCAACAAATTGTGCACCAGCGTATAAAGATTCCTAAATCTTTTGCTATGCTTTTTTTGCAATTTGCAATAACATTGCATTTAAAACGAATTTGAAAGACCATTGAAATCAATTTCTTCACTAATATGTCTCGACTTCTTACCAGCATTGAGCATGTAAAAAAACAACCCTGTTGCACATATCACACAGTGATAACTGCACCTGCACAATGTTACAGAATGCTACAAAAACAGCCGAAGCTCAAATAATGTCGTGGCACCATTATTACCTATGAAGCCACTTTCCTCGCTCTCAAAGATGGCATATGTTTAGGAAGTCACAAGCCTCAGCTGTGCATTCTAAGATCAAAATGGGATGCATAACATGACATGGCACAGCTAAAATGCAAACTTTGGATTTCTGTGAAGTTGCAGTGTATAAACCTGCTGCTAGAACTGTGCCATGCGGCACGAAAAGAATAGATTTAAATGGACCCTGACTCAGTTTCAACGACTGTCTACGAAGCTACTGAGTCAACAGCATAACTATTTGCGATCATTATTTGACTAAGTTAAGTTCTTTGTGTAAAGGGTGTAATTTATTATAAGGCTTTATATGCATCACTGCAGATCACAGAAGTGACACCACATGAAGCTGTCAGCTACCCTTCAGACATGGTATGATTTTGCATTGTCACTCGTGCAATTGATATGATTCACTACCACTGTGATATCATGGGTAAATTCTGAAACTTTATCGTGAACAAATGTTTTTCTTAGTGGTCTCTCTCGACATGTCACTATTTCTCACATTTGAAAAAGAGTCGGAGAAGGAGATTGTGTTGCACTTGGGAGCCTCTGACAGCCAGTCAGTGTCATCGGCTTGTGTTGCAACATGCTGAAAGCTTACATAAGCTGCACCACTAGTTTTAATTTCACAGTTTATTTCTCAAGCACAATGTGTCACGCTTGCTGCAGTATGGGCTCTAAATTTTGGAAGTGGCGACATGTTGAACTGCAACATGTCCCCATGAGCTTGTGCAGTGCAACTGGCAAGTGCAATGGTTGCAGTGCATTAGTACAGTGAGCTCTGGGCCGCATTTAGAAATTAACCACCAGAGGAGACGTGAGGGATCTAGAACAGCCGGTTTAGTTGTGGCACTTTTTGTTCAAGAGATCAAGCAGACAAACACAAAGTGTGGCCTCCACAATCTCCTATGTGCCAACGGACGACTGCGAAAGGCTGCGCTTAGCCTTGACTGCTTGGCGAAAAAGTTAAGGGGGAAATTCTCTTGGTACAACATGTTTTATTTAATGGTGCATATGACTCACTCTAATTGTAGTCGAACTGCTTTCGTAATTTCAGCAAAGTATTTTGGGACTCTTTGATGACTAAAAAGAAATAAATTGGGCTGGAGTAAAAGGTAACATTAGTCTACTAGAAGCCCAGCATACCATTGCCGGGGCGTAGGTGTTCTGCAATTTTGCAAAATTCTTAATGTAATGGGTGACAGCTTATGCTGCAGAAAACTTCACTCCCTCTTTTGTCACATTTGCTTGCTTCTATCCTCACCATTACTAATTGCTTTTGAAGTTTCCTGTGATAAACTGCCTCCCAAAAAGCACTTAAACAAAATCTAGAAAACTGCACATTTCGACAGTACCGTTGAGGCATTCTGTAAAGGAGTGCACTGAATCGGAAGAATGGCTGAGCATAGCATGATGTTGTTTATTAAGAACAGTTCTCGTAAATCATATCATGTTTGTAGTTTACTGAAGAGTGCCACAGAAAACATTAGATGAGACTGTTAAACAGATGGCAGAAGTTAACGACGTTAGGGCTAGTGGTACTGGATAATGAAATGAAAAAAAAAACAGCGTTTAAGAGACAAGGAAAAGAAAGAATGATGGGTGTGGGGTGGGTGGTGCAAGCATTTGCCACTTGTGGAAGAGCCCCAGCATGCTTTTCAGGGAAACGAAGAACCAAGCTATTGCTGCCTTCAGGATTAGCTCATAAAACATTTAAGATCGTGGCAGCAAAACCATACTACACTCAACAAGAAGGCCATGGTTCGCATCAAAAGTGAGGCCCGCTTTCAGGGGTTCAGAAGAGATTCGGCTTATGAGGTATTCAAAAGACAAGGTCTCTTTTAAAGAGAATCCACTGTACATTTGCGAAAACTGAGGTCTGATCTTGCTGCAAGAAAAGATGGAAAGCATACTCATCACTTTGTAGCAGGGAATGAGCCTTCAGCGCGAAAAATGCCTACACATCCTTGGATTTTTCACTTTCAGTAGTACTGCTTGTTTCATTGAAACAATGTCATACAATGGTGCTCGTAAACATAATCAGATATTCTATTCTAATTCCTTATAGGGGAACTTCGTTGTCGTAAACTAAGACCCTGACATTGTCACACACCTGCATGTGCTCATTCAAATTGTAACTTGGTGTTCGTACTCGTTCATTAGGATTGTAGAACATAGGCGTGCTGTCATCTCGGACAGATTTTTCAAATCTTTAGGTCATTCATTTTTGAATGCAAAACAGTGTTACTTACTTTGTAAAAGATAACCCGTATTATCCTCAAATCATGAAACTGCATTTAGGAAAATACTCTCCTTCTAAGTACAGAAGCAACACTTCTGTTGATTGAAAATTGTAAATAATGCTTAACTTGGAAAACCTGTCTCATACAGCATTCTTACTGTGTTAAAATGTGTATTTAGCTTGTAAAAGCAACCTGGAATGTACTTGATACTTGGAACAGCGTCTCAAAAACTACTCATAATAAGGAAGAAAAAGAAAGCAACCAAATTTTTGTTTAAAATATGCAAAGCCCAGAAAAAAATGGCATTATGTATGGGAGGGTTTCATCTAATATTTATTCAGCTGGTGTTCTGAACAGCTCATTGGACATTCCAGCTTTAAAGTTACAATAAGTTGAAACTTGTAATGCTAGCAACACATAAAAACATTCATAATTTTGTGCACTGTTTTTATTGTGCTTTTAAATAAAATATAAAATTGTTAATAGGGCCAAGAACTCAACCAGTCACACACAGCTGTAGCATTGTATCTGCAGTTTTTCTTGCTTGAAAAGGGCTATGTTATCATGAATGCATGCTTCTCATTGTATGATGTGGGTCTACCAACATCATTTATTCATCAGGTAGCTGCATGCGCACAGCCGTATTGAGCTTAGCTATAGAGGATCAAGTTTTCACACTGCTGCTGAAGTAAGGCACAGAGCAGAATTTGTCTCATGTTCACATCAGGGGGCTTTTGCCACCTAAGTATGTGGATTCTTTTTGTCTTAAAATAGGCTTTCACTAATGAGACAATAGTAAGATGAGGCCATGCCCTTGATAGCAGACAGTTAGTTCTAAGTTCATTGCATACATTATTTCTGCCATTTACTATGCTTCAGCTTTTCTTGACTGAAAATTTCATTAACCATGGAAAAAATTGGAAAATACTCTCTTCAGCTATTATCCGTGAATATGATCGCAGTAGTAGTACTTAATCACTCACTAGAGACAGTTATAGTGCTGCCTTAATGATTTTTTTTCCTCGCATAACATTTTCCACAAGTGCCAGTAACATGCATACCCTGTACCTCTCAATACTGCTCCCACCAACTTGAATGGTTTTGATTGTACATTTTTATAATACTTGAATGGCACCATAGGACTGCTACTTCACCTTGAGCAACGAAACCACTTTCGTGCCTGTAGTTAGTGAATAAAATGCTAGGGCCATCCTGTATGTCTCGATTTTTTTGGAGTTGCTTTGATTTTAGAGCCCCCATTGTTGATAAAGGACTCAAAGTAACGCACAAGCAGCAGTCATTTTGTTATATCATTTACATTTTTGTGCACTTGTTTCACATTTATGAAATTGACAACTATCTAGTTGTAGTTTTATGGTGTGTACTTCCCACTTCATAGTAACAAAGTGAGCTTTTTGTATTGTTTGTTCTTATTGTGCCCCTGTCTGCTTGTGTTACTATGAAGACCTTGTACGAACAAGCCCAAATTTCAACCACATTAAAGTGCATATTTTGAGAGCAGTACTACGATTCATGAAATATGAGCCAGCTTTCATTGTGCGGTTCCATCTTTGTGTGTGTTTCCACTTTGCAACGCCGTTTTTCAAGTACAAATGTGTCATTGTGGCCTGACTCTCTGACTGGTTCCCCGAGGTCATTTACGGTAGTTGCTTGAAAAAAGTTCTGCGTGAGCATTTGTGCATGCAAGACATCACTGTTGACTGATGCCTGCTTTGATTGTCACTCGAGAGTCCACTTGCATGAGAGGCCATTGCAGTGGAAGCAGCTTTCTAGTTGTAGGATATGTTTTCTTGTCAAACAGCCAGTCTATGTAAACTGACGTTCAGCATGAAAAAGTGCCGCATACTTTTTGGCAATACTTCAGAGTCTAGCTATGTAAAGAAACACTTATAGCTATTGCCATCCACACAACTTGCGTAAAGCTAAAAGCTATTATTCAAGGAGAAGAGGCTGAGGCACACGTTTTTCATTTCTAGTTCCAAGTGTACATAATAAAAATGTCAACATACATAAACTGAATTTCACAAGGGGAAAAATATTACTAATAGCCCTTGGTGTTTTTTAAAATTGTTTCTCGAAGTAAGGGTTTTTTTTTTTCACTCCCCACATGGAATGATCATTTCTGCTTTTAAGGCTTTGTTCATGTTTTGTTAGATAATGTTCTTACTTTTCTTATACACGCTGTGTACTAATGGGCATTGAACATCAATTGAAAACTAATTGGCAAATTGCAACTTCTGGTGTCATGTGGGAATCTGTTGGATGGATACTAGTTTTATTTACTGAATTAATTTATTTTACACAAAATATAGGTTGTATTGTCAGTGAAACATTGTGGAGAAAATACCAGGCATATAAAAGGAGAAGATAACAAATAAGACTTCTTTTACCCATGAACCTTTTGTTTATTTATATACCTCTTCACTTGTGAAATTGTTATTGCAAGAGAACTTTTCTTTTAGAATAATACATGATTGCACACATGCTGTAGACAAGCCTCCAGGTAGCTGAAAGTTCATCATTGTGCTATGTGTTTGTTCACTAGTTGCAATCAGTGCAAGTCAAAGATTGTGATTAGACGAGCCTTACTTCTCAAACCAATTGAATAGTCCAGGCTGTGGGTTCTCAAACAGTGTTCCGCCGAACCTGGGGGTTCTACTAAGGGTGTCTTATGGTGTCGTGGGTAGCCAGAACAACTGCAACCCACCTCCGCTCTACCCCCATCAGCACCTCTTTTTTGTTTTGTTTTTTTTTTTTTTAGAAATGCAAATTAGGGGGTTAGGGGTTCCGCAACACTCTTGAAAAGCCTTTGGGGTTCCCTAAAGCCAGAAAGTTTCAGAACCCCCCCCCCCCTGGCCTAGGCTGTGCTGGCCTTAAAGTACAGTTTTAACTGAATGAGTTCCTTGTTTTGCACACTTTTCTTCACTGATGTTGCAACTTTTACCTCGTGCCTGAAAGAGTGTTATAAGATCCACCACATGATTGTTGCTTCAGTTGCAAGTAACTATTGCATGAAGTGTAATATTTTGATATTATACTTATCTCCATGGGGATGTGCATTGACTTTGTGTATTGACGGGAATAATGATGCAAAAAATAATCTCTTGTATGGAAAAAGAAAGTTGTACCTATTTGTATATATAAAACAAATTCAGACGTATGTTTGATTGTTTTGACAGACCGTATACAACATCTTGATATGGGTGTCTGTGACTGCTCTTACTTAAAATTCATGAATGTTATTACAAAAGCTTGTTCCTAATTCGACATACCGCTTGAACGTGTTGTCGTTTCAATGTAGATATGATTTTTTTTTAATTTATGCCAGATGTTCCTTCTGAAATAGCCAGCCATGGTTATTGCACATGTATGTTGGTTTCTTGGAGACTGTTATGGGACACGAATTTCGCTGGTGCCTGAGTATACACAATGTGAATGCCAATAGGCTCAACATTAAAAGTTTGAATACCTAGCAGGTTCAACACGCTTACATTTGAAAGTGACTTGTATGCACTGTAATGTTATTGGGACTTTATTGCCGTGAAAAAGCAAGGTTGACCTTTTCTCGCTGTTATTAACTTAACTGCATGTGCCACATATGTTCAACTGTAATCTATTGCTATTGTTATGTAGTGAAATGCAAAGACATTTTATGTGTACGCAGCCAGTGAGCATGAGCATAATCTTCCACATTGACAAATGAGTTTCATCACCTGACAACATGACTAGAAGTACCGTAGTTGTGCATGTTTGTGTCTTTGGTTAACATGTACAGAATGAGCTCTATGCCAGCCCACTAATACTGAGTAGGTGGATATGCAAAGGGAAGAGTTAAGAATTCTCTCCATAGTGTCATAAATAAATATTTTCAGAGTAATGAATAAATTATATAAGGTTAAAATAACAAAGCTTGGTAAGAAGACATACTTTTCAAACAGTGTTGGAGCAGGACAGGAACAGTGATGTGTACCCTTAATTTCTTTCCCATTTTTTTTGCTCTTAGCGGTACTTATACAGTAGACTCTCAGTAAAGGGAAATTTGTTAAACAGAACTACTGCTGAAACGGAACTATTATTTCTGCAATGCTTGGTTTCGGGCTTGCATTCTTCACCCATGTTCACCTCTCAATAAACGGAACTCCTGTTAAATGGAACATATTTTCCCGGTCCCTTCAGGTTCTGTTCACTGAGAGTCTACTGTATATAAATATATGTAATAAGAGCATAATAGTGTGCAATTCTTCTTTAAAAAGAATTCTGGCACACTGTTTCTATCTTGTCAGCAGCAAATATACTTTCAGCAAACACCAATGTTTTAGTCGCATGTCTGTGCTGAAGGAGATGCATACAACTGTGATAACGATTGTTTTTCTCTCAAAAGGCCTGGGTTTTTGTGGTTGAATGTTTCTGGCTGGATGTGTTTCTTGTTTATTTGGGAATATACTTGTATGTAAATAGATTCTTATTGTTGTCTTAGCAAACAAAGCTTGAGATCACAGAAATTTCTCCCGTGTATTTTTAACGTACGATATTGTTATACTAACAGTCATTCTCCAGAGTGAAAAATGTAGCCTGATGTGGTGGCCAGCACTGGCAGTCACAGCCAGTGATTGTGGTGAGTGAGCACTGCAGGACTATGTTATCCCTGTCGAGTTTTGTGTGAGTAGATGTGTGATACAAAGGCATGCTTCTTTTACAAACTTGTGTATATGTCGAACCCTTTTGTGTAGGGCATTTCTTTAGAATGTTGAGCTTTATTGTGTGACGTGCTGAACTAAAGTACCTCAATTACAGGAGTGTGTTACTTAGTCCTGCCTTAGCACCTACTTAAAACAATAAAATGGATGTTTTTGTCCTGTTTGTAGCTTGCATATGTGATACAACCTTGCTTTTCTTTTTTTTTAAAGCTTCACGCATAAAACAGACACTTAATTTCACATTCCATACCTTAAAAAATTAATTTGCTCCTCCTTGAAATGGTGGTATTTGTGGAGACTGAAAAAGCATTTTTTTAGGGTACATTTATATGTCATAATGTACTGCACAATGCTAAAAAAAACAGACATCGGCCGAGGTGACAACAACAACACACTGCCACTTGACTAAAATGTTATTTGGCAATTTGGACCATAATGTATGCAGAAGACTATTCGATCACCACTATGGTTGGACATAATGTTAGAAGCCAACGGCTTTTTTTCCTCAAAGGCAAATGCACACAAGCCTGCACCCATGGGGGCACAGTCCAGACATAATCCCGAATGCTGGTGACTCTATCTTTGGAAAACATTGCTAAGAGCATGAGCGCGACTATTTCATTAGTCGCAGAGGAGATTAGCTGTAGTGTGCAGGGCATCTCTGGACTCCTTAAGTTGTATCTGACTATAGCTGTCATGTGCAAAACATGGCTTTACCAAAACAAAAGCATGGCTATCTGTGCCCATGCCTGAGAAATCACGACTGTCAGGTTTTTTTTTCTAAGCCTTCTGTTTTCGGGCTCTAGTTTTTTTTTTTTTTTTTCCACATAAGTGTTAGAGACGCAGCTACAGGTGCAGCCTTTGGTTAATAACTAGCCTTCATGAAGGGGTAGGGCCAGAATTTATTTTTTTGGAAGTGGTGAGAATGGAGAAGGTAACTGCCCAATATGTGTGTTATTTGTGCATGCATATGTGTGTGTGCATGCAAAACCTAAATATTTTCTGGAGGGAAGAAATAAACCTCGCCTTCACCCCCCCCCTGCTCTGGCTTTGCCAATGCCTTCATGCATGTGCATTGTATATTCATATGTTCTGAATCTTTATGATGGCAGCCAGCATCTGCCTGTGTATGTTTTTCATACACAAGGAGTACCCAGATATGCAGTGTCTTAATGCAACCAGCGATTACTTTTTATTTGTCTGCAACATTCTTTCTCAGCACATAGTATCATACAACTCTCAAGGGTACACCGATTCTGGAGCCAGTGCTACATCATGTAAGCTGCAGAAAGTTTCAGTGGAGGGGTATGACAACCTTCGTATCTGTCCCCTGGCCACCCTCTTCGGCTAGGGGAATTCCCAATGAAAAGGGGGGGGGGGGGGGGTGTTACCAGAAATTTCATGAGGGCTGCATTCCTGCCTTTACCTCCCTCCGCCTTTTTTTAGCACATATATGATACTTCATTTACACATTCCACATCAACATATTCACAAATAAGGATAACGTCTGATAAGAATTGTTCTTTACTCTAAATAAATGCTTTTTAGGAGTGTGTAGAACTAAAAAAGCGATGGCATGTCTCACGGTAACGCAGTGGTCACTACTGCCCCAAAACAAGGCTATAGCAATGTTCAAAAGCACTGCAATATAAACCAACAAAATAATATTATAAACTACAGAAACTAGCTGGTATTAATTGCAATAATTTACCTAAATTCGCAGAAAAACGTTTCTGAAGCATCTGGCTGAGACTCGCGTCAGGCAAGGGGGGCGTCACCGCATCAGCAAGCGCGTGAATGCAGGCACGCTAGTGGAGATGCATTAGGTGCAGGATTTAGAACTACACCAAAACGTATATACACGAATGACATTAGCCAAGGATTTAGCACGGGATTTAGAAATACAGCAACACCTACACCAACAATTATATTATAGCATACATTGGATTCGAGCAGCTATTCACTGCATCATAAGTTTCGTGTGCCATCGTGGGCAAACTGCAAACACACCAGACTCGTTTTTGTGCTCGTGTATATCTTTTTTTTGCAGAACACAACACACAGCTCCAATGCACGCATACTGTTGCAATTGATAAAATTTGCCGAGCCGTTTTTGAGATTCTTCAGATATGACGCGTGCCTTGGTAGATCAGACGTGCTATATATATAATTAACAGTTCTCTTCCGTTCACACTCTGTGTCGCAGTTTCAATCACTGAATTCGCGTGACCGACAGATTACGTTGTGACTGCAACCCAGTTCAACAGAAGAATCGTCATTCTCTTGTCGAGCCCCGCCGCGGTGGTCTAGTGGCTAAGGTACTCGGCTGCTGACCCGCAGGTCGCGGGATCGAATCCCGGCTGCGGCGGCTGCATTTCCAATGGAGGCGGAAATGTAGGCCCGTGTGCGCAGATTTGGGCGCACTTTAAAGAACCCCAGGTGGTAGAAATTTCCGGAGCCCTCCACTACGGCGTCTCTCATAATCATATGGTGGTTTTGGGATGTTAAACCCCACATATCAATCGATCAATTCTCTTGTTGAGCTGTGCAGAAAGAACCGTCCATCATTGTCATTTGTGTTTGGTCTTGTTTCCTATAGTAGTATGTTCATATCTTTGGCATAGTTAGAATTTTGGGGGAGAGGTAGAAGGGGGAGATTTGATTCATTAGAAGCACGAGTGATACAATGGATGTGATGAATACAGATACAGAAGGAGGTCTCGAAAGTTGCAAGACTGTGAGTGAGACCTCCTATAAAATCACTCTTCCGAGATACAACGCTATAGCATGCAGTGGTAAAGATAAAAAAAAATAAATTGTACAAAATGCACAGTAGGCACAAAAAAAAACATACACTAAATACAATACCGTTTACTCTTAATAATATAAAGCATTATGTATTTAATAAGTGCGTACTTGAGGCTTTTTTTAAGATTTCAAGAAATACATTCTCGATTTCCAGACGAGAAAAGTTGCACTAGGATGAAAGGGAAAAGTTTTGTGGTAAACTTAATTATTGTAATTAGCCCTGGATTTGGGTAGTGAGAAGCAATTAGCCTTTGCAAAATGAGTAGGTGATGCCTGAGACAACTAACATGACTGTATAGTAAAGAAATTGAAAGTTGTTCATTCACATATTTATGAATAATATTGTCGAGAAAATACTTGTTCAGCTTCTGAACTGATAAAATTCCATGTGAACAGAGTAAGGATGATACATACATGAAACTTGTGAACATTATTATTCTCAATGCTTGGTTCTGATCATGTTGAATGGCTGATGAATAAGTGGCACATCTAGTTCCCCATAATGAAATGCAATAGACTATGTTGCTATGAAAGAATGCGTAAAGTGACAACAATATTTCGAAATGAAAGAAAGGGCAAACATTCAGCAAGAATCGAATGGCGTATGTGGCTTTACATGTAAGCTGTAATACATGTAAATTAAACCTCAGATGTTCATCAACTCTGAGGACTGTCTTATTAGAAGTAACATAAACTCTAGTATCTCTTAACGAAGTAGCCTTAAGTGTAATTCGATTAGGTGACAAAAATACTATGAAGTCTGACTTGTTAGCATTAATTGAAATGTTATTTATTTTTATTGAACCTTTTAACAAGTTGGTATTTAGTTTAAATAACATCGAGTCAACCTCTTTTATATGTATGGTGGTATCGATACGTCTGCGTAGAGTGTACAGGACACTATCATTAATGTAAATAAAAATAGAAGTGGGCCAAAATTGATACCTATGGAACACTGATGTCGATGGTTATATGGTTAAAATGTAGGTACCGGACACAAATGTCTTCTAATTGTTCTCGATCATGCAGACAGTTATGAATTGGTGTTAATGCGATGCCACAGATACACGAATTTATTTTAGTTTTGGAAATAATATGTCATGTGAAATAGAATCAAATGCTTTTGAAAGGTTAAAAAAATGCCAACAGCATTACCGCTGCCACTATCAAATTTAATTTCGTCTGTTAGCGATATTAGGGCTAGTTCAGTTGATTATTTGGGACTGAAATCAAACTATTTGGTAGAAAGAATGTCAAATTCAGCCACCAATAACATGATTTTTATGTATATTCGTGCGTGTGTTTGCATGTGCGCGTAAAAATTAAAAAATAAAAACATGCGAAAAAATTTTTTTAGAAGTAAGCCCCCTTCCCCACTCCCGCCACCCTTTTGCGCCAGTGGTACTTGTTTTAACAGAGAATTCTAATTTTGCAGCAACGTACAGGTGCCAGTTACTGTGCGCATATTCAGTGCGGCATTCCCCCCACCCCCCTTTTTTTTACATTATGAATTTTTTTTTCCCGTGCACGCTCGGCGTCAGGTGCACTAATTTCCAGCGCAAGTGTTTCGCGTTTCTTCCTTCAAGTCGACCGTTTACGTGAGCGGTGCATATTGACAGATGAAGGAATAATTAGCGCTTTTAGGTGGCTACATCCGCATGTGAAGTTTGAAAATAGTGTTATAACAAGTATGTTTTAAGTGCCGCTTCCTTAACTTTATAGGTGAGATTTCTCAAGTTAGGTTTGAAGTAACTGCCATTCCATTTTATTTTTTACCTCAATCTCTTCTTGTAAAGAAACTTGAAAATGACGAAACTTGTGTGTGTCATGATATGCGCGGTAGGTTCATCTGGTGCGCGATGTTTGTGAGTTTGTGCTGTGCCGTACGCCGACGAAGATGACGATGAGACAAGGAAAGGCGGAATCGTGTCGTCAAAGTCAAGCCAAGCCATGGGGAGAGGGAAGAAGAAGACGACGACGGGGCGTTCGAGAAGAAGGATCGGAACAAAACAGTGGCAGGCTGAAGCGCTCGTCGGGTCGTGGTCCCGAAGCCTACCTGTGCCTGTGGTCCGCACGAGCCTGGCTCTCTTCTACCGTGTAATCCAGCAGCCGGCGCCGGTCCGTTGTACTCGGATCCGGGCGTTTTCCAGACCTGGGCCTACTACTGGCTGTCCGGGACGTGCGTGCCACACATCGACTCTGCCTCACGCTCCGCTCCGACCATGCCTGAGGCATCGCTGATGTCGGCGTAAGACGCAACGCAACGCATCGACTCATCTGCCTTCGACGTCACACGGTGAAGTGTTTCAAACCTTGTGTAGTGCAGTGGGGGACTACGCTAAGCGTCAGACCTTGTCTTTCGAGAA